AAAAAAAAAAAAAACATGGACAGTTGTTAAATTTGTAGGATGGTTACAAGGGGATTCATTATGCTGTTCTATTTGCATTTCAAATTTTTCCAAATAAAAACATTAAAAACTTGAAAGAATATTTTTTCCAGATTCATTTGCTTGTTTGAAGGAATGCTTGCAAGCTTTAGCCATCCTAATGGGATGTAGAGGTATTAGATTGTGATTTGAATTTACATCTTTTTTCTTTTTGGTACGGGGGATTGAACCCAAGGGCACTCAACCACTGAGCCACATCCCCAGCCCTATTTTGTATTTTATTTAGAGACAGGGTCTCACTGAGTTGCTTAGCACCTTGCTGTTGCTGAGGCTGGCTATGCACTCGAGATCCTCCTGTCTCAGCCTCCCAAGCCACTGAGATTATAGGCGTGTGCCACTGTGCCCAGCTAACTATATTTTTAAATAACTATAATGTATAAATATATATATTCATCGACTTAAAATTATAGTAAATGTTGACTTTTATTTTAAAACACTGGCATTATTGATCACAGGGAGCACATTTTCTAAAATGTAACACAGTTCTATATAATTCCTTTATTGAACATAATCCAAAATGCTTTCTGAGAACCCCCTTCCCCTGCTTCAAGACTGTCAACTATGGCCTTGTCCTAAGACTGTGTTTAACTTTATCATAAGTCACTTACAAAAAGTGCCTACTATTCCTTTACTTTGTAAAAGCCTTTTTGCTTTGAAAAAATAATTATTCAAATTGTATTAAGTTGAAAACTTATTTTAATTTCTTTTCAAATGAAAGTATGAATTACTATTATCATATAATATACAAAATGTAAAGTCACATCTTATAATTTATCCTGTTAATTACTTGCTTCTCTCTTTACTGATTTTATTTCTTTTCTAAAAGTAGAAACATGATCTCTTTTTCTCAGCTATTCAACTATAATATAGAAAATGTGCTTCAAGAAAGGATTCAAACACTATTGCCAAATGTTTTCTCTCAAATGCAGTTCTAGGATTGAAATGTTTTTGTTTGGTTTGCTTTTTGTTTTGGTTCAGTTTTCCATCATTCCACCTACCACTTTGATTCTCTCTAACACAGGCAAATCTAAATTGACAGATGGGATATTCCTCTGGTAACCTTAATGCATAGCCCAGAGCCAAACTATGCAACAAGATATGTCTTTCAATGTATGGCCTTAGGGTTCTATCAAATGAGGGCTCACAAAGGGCTTTATTTGTTACCCTACTTATAACAGGTACTATCCTTTCATTGAAATTAAGATTGCTAACATTACTTTGTTCTTTCATCTCAGGGACAAAAGTAGAGGACATTGTTGTGAATTAAAATAAGATCTAAGTGAACCTTCACAGCCTTTAATAACATGTGAATTCACTGCAGAATCACAAAGGGTTTCCAAAGCTACACTAAGAACCAAAAACTGGAAAGGGGGAAAATTAAGAAGAATAAAAGTTATCTACATCATATATAAACATTCCAAAAGAATGTTTATCAGCCAAGAGGTAAAAGACTGAGCTAATTTAACCAAGGCATTTTCTAAGTCTGTGTTTGTCCTTAATGAACATTAAGAAAGTTGCTCAGATGTTCATTTTTCCATAGAAAAAAATATAAAATAATAAACCAACAAGTCCTTGAAGAACCTTGACTATATTTAATTATTATTCCTTGAATAAATGCTGTTTCTTATAAAAATCTTTCTGATCTTTTGTATCTGTCCTATTCAGTAATCCTGATTGATTGAAGATCAGGGCAATAAGAGACATAAAACTGCAGAATTTTGCAAATAAAATTGAAGCAAGGTCAAAGTCTGACAAATTGTTATCAACGTCTTACAGCAATACTACCTGAATCCAAAACAGAATTCCTATTATTTTGTGAGTGTTGAGTGTTGAATTCCAAGACTTTTTATTAATTTTGCACTTAATAATCTATAAACTCTTAAATCTAGGGAGTATCTCTTAAACATCTAAGAATACCTTCTACAACAGCCTTCATTTCAACAGTGTACTAGGCTTGAATAAATATAAACAATGAGTGATTCGTTATACTATTAGATGCTAGCGATTATTTTTGTAAGCTTCTTCCTTGGGTTGAGTTGAAATCTGCCACTTTTGAATTTCATCCAATAGAGATATAAACAGGTTTAAACAGGTTTAAAGACAGACTAGAATAAAATCCCAGTTTTCAGAAAGTAAGGAAGGAGAACAAATCTCTATAGACAGTAGTAATAGATGTCTCTAGGGACAGACCTCAAGACAGGGAAAACCCACCGTTGAGAATCCTTCCCTTCTCCCCAGACTATCTTTGTCTATAATACCCAAATTTTACTTTATCTCCTGCTTGAAACTGAACTTATATCCATTTTTAAATTTACTTTGTTTAACACACATTTCAATTTTAAATGCAGTTAACTCTGAGATCATGGAGCACATATTTACCACAATTAGCATGAACTAACTAGTTCATTGCTCTCCATCTAATATCCTTTACCATCCCTCTCTATTACAGTACACACCATTTTGTAGTTTAGTCGTGCCCTAGCAGCAAAAGAGAGGGATGGCAGAAGATCAAAGATATATAGAGAAGCTATGAAAAACCTCACCCTTCTAAAATTTGCAAAAAAAAAAAAAAGTTGTTCTCTATTCCCTCACAAACATTAAATTTTCCCCATGGTTTTTCTCCCTACGATAATACATCTCTCTCTCTCTCTCTCTCTCTCT